GATCGACGCTGGACCCCGCTACGTGTGGGCCGTGAACGTAGAAGCGCGCAGCAGAGCGTACGAAGTATTCCGCCTCTGGTTGGCGCACGCACAGCGGCAATCTGGGGAGAAGCTGAAGATCTGGCAGTCAGACGGCGCAGTGGAGTTCAGGAGCAAGGAACTGCAGGATTTCCTGGCGCATAAGGGGATCGAGCATCACATTTCTCTCCCCTACGCGCACCAGCAGCACGGCATAGTCGAGCGAACGAACCGCACGCTCATGACGAAGGTGCGGGCGCTGATGAAGCAATCGAAGCTGCCGTAGATCTATTGGACTTACGCAATGCACCAACAGGCAGCTTCGATTCACAACCTGTTGTCAACAACAGCCATCACTGGCTACTCGTCGCCGCATGTGAAGTGGACCGGGACCAAGGGTGACACATCCATGCTCCGCGTGTGGGGTTGCATGGTGCAATACCGCCCGCCAACTTCAACTATTGGCAAGTTCGCCAGTCGCGCGCGCTGGGGAATTCACCTCAGCATCCGTCACGAGCACAAGGCATGGATCATCCTGGTCCTGCTTTGCTCATCTTCTACAAACGCCTCTTCCTCAAGCAATTCCGCCACGACGAGCAAACAAACGCGAATTGCGTTTACGCGAATGACAGGTATAGCTACGCAACACCCGAGGACAAAGCCGCTGCAGTAATCCTGGAGCAGGACACCAGGGGCGAGTTCACAAGAGGAGAGACCACCACCGCAGCGACGACAATGACGACGACTGGGGGAGGAATGGGCGGAGCGGGAAGAAGCGGTAGAGGCGCAGCACCACCAGCACCACCTGAGCCAAAGAGTGACGACGACGACGTGCAAGAAGTCATCCCACAGCATCGCCACAACAGCACCGTCTCCGGGCCGTAGCTCCTCGGGCTCCACACCACAACCTCAACGGCGCCACGCGTCATCGAGCTGAGAAATCCGTGCCAAGCGCGCACTGGACCACACGGCAAGGAATAGCACGAAGCAATGGATGCAGAAATTAAAACACTTGAGTCCCGGGACACCTGGGTGCTCGTTGACCGCGCAACAATCAAGGGCGCAAGGGTCCATTCCGGAAAATGGGTCTTCCGCGTGAAGACCACAGCGGACGGCACAATTGAGCGATTCAAGTCGCGCTGGGTGGTGCGCGTCTATGACCAAAGGCACGGCATCAACTTCGACCAGACCTTTGCGCCGGTCAGCCGTCACACATCCGTCCGAATCCTGCTCGCCATCGCAGCCGCAAGGCACCTGCCTCTACGTTAGATCGACGTGAAAAATGCATTCCTATGCACGTTAGTAGATGCTGTAATCTACGTGGAACAGCCGCACACGTACGACGAAGGGGATTCGCGTGTTTGCCGATTGTGGAAATCCCTTTACAGGATCAAACAAGCGCTGAGGCTCTGGCAGCAGTATCTACACAACATCCTGCTTGAAATTGGGTTCAAGCAGCTGCCTCACAACCCGGAGATGTACCGCCGCGATTTCCGCAGCGAATACATCCTGCTCATAGTCTACGTTGACGACCTGCTCTACACAGGGTCGAGCAACGAGCTGCTCGAGCAATTCGAGAGGAATCTGGCAGGGCGCGTCGACAATACCTGCAACTACGAGGTGAAGAGGTTTTATGACTTAGTATCTCCTACGCGCCATAAGCTATCCACCTCTCAGCGGCTAATTATGCAGAGGAGCTTGGGAAACGCTTCATCATTTTGCCTACACCACTCTCCACTCCTTATCGCACTCCCGGACTGGACCACAAACCTGACAACAAAGCCCTATCCCCCGCTGGTATCCAGACTACTACCGCACGTACCGTCCTGTTCTCTCTCGTGTTCTCGCCTCTCTTGTTACCGACCCTCGTGCCTCTGTGTCCTCTGTCTCTGCTCTTACTGCTGCTGTCACTTAGTTTGCCTCTACTCGCTGCCTTGACTACGCCACCAGTCTTGTGGCTGCTCCTCCTACCAATCCTCTGACCGTCGGGGGTGAGTCTGCCCTTGGCTGTGACGCCCCAGAGGACAGGCAGTTTGAGCTAGAGTTCCTGGCATCCGCTTCCCCCCATCTCTGTGCCATGCTGCTCGCCCCTGAGGGAGACCCCGACGCCCTTGACATACCGACTCCTCGCACTTACGCTGAGGCAGTGTCAGGGCCTTGGGCCTCTCAGTGGAGAGCTGCCATGGACGCAGAGATGGCCTCCTACAAATCCACAGGCACCTACGTCGACGAGGTTCTCCCCCCTGGGGCGAACGTAGTCGATGGCATGTGGATCTACAAGGTGAAGCGGCCACCGGGATCTCCTCCGGTCTTCAAGGCGCGCTACGTGGCTAGAGGTTTTAGTCAGCGCGCGGGAGTTGACATCTTTCTGAACTTTGTGCCTACCCCGAAGATGACCACTCTTCGGGTGTTAATACACGTAGCAGCACAGAGAGACTACGAGTTACACTCTCTCGACTTCTCCACTGCTTTCATTCAGGGTAGCCTACACGAGGAGGTCTGGCTGCGTCGTCCCTCTACCTTCACTGGCACTTTCCCTCCTGGGACCCAGTGGAGGCTGAGGCGACCTGTCTACGGTCTCCGTCAGGCTCCTCATGAGTGGCACGACACCCTTCGTTCTACCCTCTCTGACCTTGGTTTCCAGCCGTCTTCTGCCGACCCGTAGTTGTTCGTTTGTCGTGGCTCCACACCTTTCTTTGTTCTAGTCTACGTCGTCGACCTGGTTTTCGCCACTGCTGACAGGGTTGCCTTGGCAGACGTGAAGTCCGAACTGCAGAAGAGACACACGTGCACTGACCTTGGTGAGCTGCGCCACTACCTTGGCCTGCACATCACCAAGGACAGAGCTGCTCGCACCATTACACTCTCACAGTCACACATGGTGCAGCAGGTGCTTCAGCGGTCCGAGCTTCAGCACTCCACAGTACAGCGCACACCTCTTGCTGTTGACCACAGACTTACTGGACCCTTTCCTGACGAGCCGTTTGAGTCTAGTGGTCTCTACACAGAGCTGGTGGGCTGCTTCATGTACCTGATGACTTGTACTCGCCCGGACCTCGCCTTCCCTCTCAGCATCATTGCTCGCTTTGTTGCACCAGTGAGACACCGTCCTGTTCACTGGACGGCAGGTGTGAGGGTGGCAAAGTACCTAGCAACGACATCAGGCATGGGGCTAGTTCTTGGAGGGCAGCAGTCTGTCATACTTACTGGTCACTGTGACTCTTCTTACGCTGACGACGCTGAGACTCACAGGTCTACGCAGGGGTACTATTTCAGCTTGGGTTCTGGAGCTGTTTCGTGGAGGTCCACGTGCTCCTCTTCGGTCTCGACCTCTACTGCTGAGGGTGAGATCTAATACTGGTGCCATGGCGGCAGAGGAGCTGCGTTGGTTGACCTTCTTGCTCGCCGACCTTGGTGAGCGGCCGAGCTCTGCACCGACCTTGTTCACTGACAACAACACGTCGATTCTCCTGTGTCAAGAGCCGCGACTGGAGAGCAGAGTGAAGCACATTAACGTCAGGTACTTTCTTCTGCGAGAGTTGCAGAGACATGGACAGGCTCGCTTCGAGTTTGTGGAGTCCGAGGCCAGCACTACAGACATCTTCACCAAGGCGCTTCCGCCTTGTGACCACTAGAGGTGTTGTGTGCTGTTAGGTCTTGTTGACACAGGTTTTAGTCGTGTGTAGACTTGAGTTTACTGTTTGCTTTGCTTGTACTCTTGCCATACACCTTTGTGAACTCTTGGACTGGCCTTGTGGCCCCTGTTGCTTGTGCTCAGAGTGTATGGTGACATTGTGATCCACCCTGAGCTTTGTTTCTTTATGACTGGTCTTGTGACCGTACACTTTTGGTCTTGCTTGACACCCCTCACTTAGGCTATGGGGGTGTGTCAAATGTTGTAGCCTGTAGTGAAGTTTGTCTTAGGGGGTACAAATATTAGGGTTTGCTATATGTACCCCAGCCCACATCAATAACACAACACTTTCATTTCTGACACATCTGCGGCACCATCGCACAATCCTGCCACCTTGTGCGAACTGAAAATCCGACACATTTGCAAAGCGGCCTGCAATTCTGCCACCAAATGTGTCAGATTTTTCGGCCCTATAAATGTGGCCGGATATTCGTCGCTTTCAAAGTCGGCCATGTTGTCTTCTTTGGGGAAAGATATAATCTACCGAATCCTCGTCTATATTCCAGCCAAATCACCTTGTAACGGATCTGACGCGCCCTTACGTACGTGCTCATGCCTTAGCAACCGTATTATACATGGGATGAGTTCATTCTATTGCGGTGAGGTGCGATGCTGTGCTTGTTAGAGCGGCTCGTTTACACTTCTCTACGTTTGGGTAGGCCTTGGAGCGAAGTCGTGACATGGGGAAAATTGTCAGATTTCCCACTTCGAGATTTCCGACATTTCACGCTCTCTCGGCTCTCACATCTCTTTGCGTGCCAATTTATAGGCTGCAATAACCCACACGAATTCCGAGGTGGAACCATAGCCTTACGATCTCTCAAATGTGTCATATCTGTTGTCGGGTATTCTCGTCGGCAGTGTAAGCATGAGATTACAAACGATGCAGAGCAGTGACGAACTGTACGTACAATGAGCCATCAACAGCTTCGGCAATGGTTTACTACAGGGTTCGATTTACAGCACGAGCTGAGTTCTTCTATGAGACAAATTCACGTAGTGCTCCATCAAATTCTCACTACGCATCAGCTCCATTGGGTATGGCCAGGTGGTGTAGTACCTATTGCGCGATTCAAGCTGTAACGCATCGAAATTTCGAGACGGGTACGACCATTGAAAAGTTGTTAGGAGTGTAGGGGGGAGAATTATGTGACAATAAAGTGAAGATGCATCGGGTGTGCCTGTTGCTGCATCTGCCGCAGTGATTGTGCCTCCTTAAACTATTCAGGCTGAGGAGCCCAGCAGCGACGACGAGGAGTGGGAAACAAAATTGGTACACCGATTTAAGATGGCGGCGCAGTGGCTTCGCCACGACAAAGAGGGCGAACCAGGGGCGGCAACGCGGCAACAAAGAAGGTGCAGCAGGAGAGTAGGGGCTAAAGAGGGGCCCGAGAAGCTTCAGATGCTATCGCGGGCGGACATGTTACACTACGTGGATGTGAGAGGCGCCTGGGATTGGCAGGAGTGCGAGTGTTGCTTCGACCGTGCCGTGAGCTACCGCGCACAGCTCGCACTTCGCATGGTGGGCCTGGCAGGATTTCGTTCCCTCCTTCTGGCGCATTTGCCTGACTCCATCCCGCTCGTCCCTTTCAGTCAACCAGCCAGCGCCATTGCTGAGTACTCTGCAGGAGTACACATGAAGCCTCTGGAGTGTTCGCCACCTCAACCGGTCTTCAGCGTCAAGTGTGTGGTGGCGCCCATGCGCTGTGCCGAGGCGATGATTGTCGAGTGGATGGCTGAGCCGCGTGTGGGTGTGCTCATGGACCTGGGGAGGATCAGATCCTGCCTCCCTGCCATTTTGGCTGCTACAAATACTGGTACAACTACAGGAGTGCCTCCTGCAACACCTGTTGCTTCTGCTGCTGCTAGTGAGACGTGGGCTACTCGCTGGGCTGCCTACCGCCGGGCTGTCAGCTTTGCTGCGTTCCTCATGCTAGTAGCGCGGTGCCCGCGTGTTGTGAACCTAAGAACGGTGTCTTTGTCTACTCACTCCGCCGCTTATCCGGCTATCATGCAGCTGGGGGCGACCAGACAGATTGAAAACGACTGCTTTGTGTCCATGCTGGTGCAGGTGCTGGGGGTGAAGGAGAGTGCTGAGCTGCAGGAAGGGTTTGGGTTCTTCGTGCAGCATGTGCTGTCAGGCGGGCTGGAGAAGGCGCATGGTGAGGGGAGGGGCGGAGCTGAGGGGGGGGCTGCTGAGAATGCGCAGGGGGAGGAGGGACGGGCGAATGGCGAGGTGATGGATAGGGGTGGGGGCATGGAAAAGGAGGAGCAGCAGGGAGGTGACCTGGCAAGGTTGATTGTGACGCAGGTTGATACTGGTGGTGGGAAGGGCAGAGGGGACGAAGGGGAACCGGAGCATTGCAGCGAGGCGAGCAGAGGGGAAGAGATGCACAGCCGCGAGGCGAATAATGCAGCTGCTGGGGAGGGTGGCAGTGGGGGGAAGAATGGGCAGTGGAGGGAGAATTTGAAGGGTCGTGTGTGGGAGAGGTATGTGGATGGCATGGCTTGGATTTTGGCGCATGGAGAGGGGGAAGGGAGGGAGTTTAGATGCAGCCACTGCAGTGAGGAGGGGGGCAACAACACTGGCAGTGACGTGCAATTGAATGGTATTCCTAAGGGCATGTATGTGAGTGGGGTAAGTGCCACGGATTTTGCTCTTGCTTTGGCCGCGGAGCTGTCTAAGCCAGAGAAGTGTATCGAGGCGGTTCTATACGTGCTGGATGGGAACAATGCCAATAAGGTGAGGGTGGAAGAGGCAGCAATCGAGGAGGCCAGAAGCAGGCTGAGAAGAGAGGTAGGTGGAAAGGGAAGAAGAGGAATAGGAGGAGAGTGGGCAGTAGCAGACAGGAGTGGGGCAGCAGCAAGCACGAGTGGGGCAGCAGCAAGCACGAGTGGGGCAGCAGCAAGCACGAGTGGGGCAGCAGCAAGCACGCATAAGCCAGCGGAAGCATCAGCAATGGCGCGTTCGTCTGCTGCCACTGCTGCTGCTCCAGCTGAAACCCAACCTTTTACACGAGTACACGGCACTCGCAGCAGCTACAGTTCTGATCTCGTAAGCACAAGTCCTGTCCTCGCAGCCTTCACGTATCGAGTTGCTTGCATCCTACACTGGGTTCGATTATACGGCTCAGACATCCTCTTTGTAAAAGGATGCTCCAGGAGTAGGCGAGAGAAAGGGATCCTGCAAATGCCCCATCCATTTTGAGACCTTCCGAGCCTGCTGCTCAGGCTCGGCGCCATCCCGAAACCTCTTGATGATGGTATTTTTCCTATGGAGTGGGAGGAATGGTCACAGGGCGATGAAGCTGCTGCAAAGCTACCTGATGATCCCGATGCGAGATTCTTTCAGCTGGGTATTGTGGAGGAGAGTTCAATGGGAGTGGAGTGTGGTCAGAGGGTAACAGAACAAGATTCAAAGTTTGGGAGGAAGCACGTTAGGGAGAAGGGGCGAAAAGCCAAGGCATCTGGCAAAGGAAGTGACGTCAGAGGGGGTGATACAAACAGAGGGTTTGGGGAAGACCAAGGAGGCACTTCACATGCGTCCGGCATGACTGTTGCGCGGCCACCTCTGAGAGGAGAGGTGCCCATGGCTGGATGTGTGGAGGATGCTGAGTTCATTGTGGACGCCATCAGCCTCGTTGCCAGCCCACTCGCATGCGCCAAATGCATCCGATGCTACCGCAGCTACACCTCCTTCATCCCATCCATCGCTCTCGACGCCAAGTTTGCCTACCGCCCCCTCAGTGTCCTCGTCAACCGCTTTCTATCCGTCTTCCCGCCGCACTCCGCTGGGTTCGACAAGCTTGTGAAGGCGATGGGGTTGTCGCCATTTCCCCCAGGCCCGCCTGCGCTGGCCAACCTGGCGAGGCTGCGCGGCGAGATAGAGGCGGAGCGCCTTGGCTTTTTCATGTTCGTCGCCCTCACGTGGCCCGCCTCCATTCTGGATATGGAACAGTTTGAGAGCAAACGGGCGGAGGAGGGGGACGGGATTCGAGTGAAGAAGAGGGTGGGGAGGAAGAAAGGGAAGGCACGAGGGGAGGAGGAGGAGGAGGACGATGGGGAGGTGTGGGAGGAGTTGCAGTCATGGTGCTACACGGCAAAAGTAGCTTGGCCATCTGCCATGCGTGTTGCATTGAGCAATTCCAATGTCGAGTCGGCTCGTTCAGGTCTCAGTGGTGTGTGCACGGGCAGTGAGGGGCGGCAGAAGAGGGCGCACGTGGACACGCGGATGGCTAATATAGTCAACACAGGGGCGGCGAAGAGGATCAGACAAAGGGTGCGGGACCGTGCTTGGGCTGCGTGGAGAAGCAGCACTAGCAACAGCAGTAGTGATGCAGTCATGGGGATTGGTGCTGCTGCTGGTACTGGCAGCGCCAGCAACGGTAGTAGTGGCAGAGAAAGTGGTGATGGTGCTGGCACTAGTGATATTGCTTGTGCTGGTGATGGTGCTAGTGGTGTTGCTGGTGCTGGTGGTGGTGCTGGTGGTGGTGCTGGTGCTGGTGCTGGTGCTGGTGTTGATGGTAGCAAGAGCACTAGGGGAAAGGGGAAGAAGCTGGAGCTGCCACCTTATCAGATTCCATGGCCTGGGGGAGTCAATCTCGTGGCATGTCTGCGGGTTATGCTGCTGGGGGAGCCATGCTACCGCCACGCTTCCCCGGCTGCCGCTTCCGTCCCTCCTTCTGTTGCCAACACCACTGCGGCAGCACCAAATACAACGGCCTCTGCCTCTTCCATCCCTGCCGCTCCAACCAATGTTGCTGCTCCGAGCACTGCTGTCTCCTCTACCCACCCACCTGTGCACACCGTTGCTACCACGTTAACCCATGATGCCTCGTCCACCCATGTCACTCCAACCAACGGTGCTGCAACAGGCACTGCAGCTGCACCTGCACCCGTAGCAGATGCAAAGGCCTTTGGTCCCGATGCGTGCAGGGGAAGTAGGTGCGGTGCTGCGGGGTGTGCGAGTTTGGAAGGTGGTGGTGTGAAGCTGAGGAGCTGCGGTGGGTGTGGCAAGGTGGCGTATTGCAGCAGAGACTGCCAAAAGGCGCACTGGCCCTCCCACAAGCTCACATGCCCCGGCAGGACCAGCAGGAAGAGGAGTGCGAATGTGAGTTGTGAAACAGTGGCAAGGTGAGTGGCAGAAGAAATGTGGACATAGAAAAAGTTCAGGCCTCTAAATAGGATTTGGGGTACTCTTTCTTCTAAGGCCAACACCCAGCTTTTACTCTTCCAGTAAGGGTGCTTAACAGAAACTGCTCTTAAAGATCAAGGTGCAAACAAATCATACTATTAGTCCAGTAATTTGACTCTCCACACTATACAGGTTTTTGGTGTTGCAGTGTGTTCAGCTACCGTATTCTCCTGGATAAAACACCCTAGGGTATTATGAAAACCACTGGAAAAAAATGGGGGGGGTCTCCTCAAAGGAAAATCCTATATAATACCCGGGTCTTATGATATGGTATATTTTTTATAAAACAGAAAAGATGTGAAACAAAATCAGTGGTCTGAATTCACTTCAAGATTGTTGATCAATGCCGCAAAACCAAGTACGAGGATATTGTGGGCCACTTGGGCCACTTCACCTCTTGGACCACTTGCAGTGGAAGATTCGCCAGCGTGGCGACAGCGAGATTTCGGGATTCACTAGCGTGGCGACAGCGAGATTGTGGGAGGGGGGATATCTCGGCTGATTCTAAGTGAAAGTACATGCGAAATTTCTTCTAGGGAGTGATTTTCGCGATATCCTCCCGTAAGGAATCGGACTCGATAACAGTTATAATAGGAATTTATAAGAAAAGGGGGGTGTTATAGAGAATCACCCCAAAAAGGGGGGTATAGTACTAACGGTGTCGGATATAACACCCACCCCGTATAAGCTACCCGGGGGTGTACAATTACGGGGGGGTGTTTTATCCGGGAGAATACGGTACGCACATGTGGGGGGGTCACTGCCAGGGCTGATTTTATCAGGGTAATTACCTTGATTTCAGGGTGATTTCAGACTTTTCACATTCTGGTCCCTGCAATTTCAGTTTTAATGACTTCTGAACACTGATCCTGTCAGATTAGTACTTTAGCGAACCCTGAAATTTTGTAAACACTCACAGAGTAGTGCTCTTATGGACCCAGTCAGTACAGAGTATGCGTCTAGTGGACCTTGAGGACGCGGCACCTCTATCACCGATCCTGCGATCGATCCTGCGCAGGATCGAACGTTGTAAGAGTTTAAATTGATATTAAAAGATTTAAATGCTTTCAAAAAGAATTCAGTACGGTTGAATCAGCGATCCTGCGATCGATCGTGCAAAATTGCTTGAGGTGCCGCGTCCTGAATGCAACGTTATCGAGACGAAGCTTCGAGGAATCTTCGTTCCGATAACCCCACATGTGCGTAATCATGATTATGCTTGCATACATTTCACACAACCCGTGGGCGCGAACCAGGTTACCGCAGTACACTGCGTTTTGTTTACAATCACCAGTTGTGGTTTCTGATCTGTGTTGAGCAGTAAACTTAAACCCAGAAACAAAACGCCACCTGGCGGATCGCAGAGTGATTCGACAGGAAATAACAAAACAAAACCATCCGTAGTGAAATTGAGGAGAATTGAACGAGAATGGAATGACTATGAACGAAGTGAGTACAAATAGGAAACCCTAATTGGGTTGTACCCCCTATGGGATACCCCACTATAGCCTACACAAATAAGTAAGCTAAAATGTTCTGACACACCCCCATAGGCAAAGTGGGGGAGAACAAGGGGTCACAAGACCAGTCAAGCAAAGCAAAGCAAAGCTCAGGGTGGATCACAAAGTCACCACACATTCCGAGCACAAGTTCAAGGGCCACAAGGCCAGTTCACATGCGAGATCATATATAGAGATATACAAGAGTCAAGCAAGCAAGAACAAGAGTATATATAGGTCAAGGTACAAGCAAGGTCAAGAAGTGAGCAAGTGAGGCAAGACAGGCACAAGACCCAGCTGCGTGCAGCAACACTGATGATCACAAGGCGCAAGTGCCTTGGTGAAGACATCAGCAGTGTTGGCCTCAGAGGCCACATACGCAAGTCGCAACTGTCCACGCTGCTGCAGCTCACGAGCAAGAAAGTAGCGGAGAGCAATGTGCTTTGTCCTGTGCTCCAGTCGCTGCTCTCGACACAAGGCCAGCATGGCCTTGTTGTCTACGTACAGGACTGGAGGAGAACGAGGCGGCTCTCCAAGGTCGGTCAGCAGGTAGGTGAGCCAGCGAAGCTCCTGAGCAGCCATAGCCCCGGCGTAGATCTCAGCCTCACAACTGGAGCCGAGAACAGAAGACGAGCAGGTAGCTCGCCACGAAACAGAGCCGGAACCAAGGCTGAAGGTGTAACCCTTTGACGACCGCTGCGTAGCCTGGTCGTCAGCCCAAGAAGCGTCCGCGTGCCCAGTGAGGACCTCTGGACTGCGCCCTCCAAGCACTAGCCCCATGCCCGACGTACTGCACAAGTAGCGCAACACCCTCTTCGCTGCAGCCATGTGCTCTGGTCGGTGTCTCCCAGGAGCAACATAGCGTGCGAGAATGCTAAGAGGGTATGCAAGGTCAGGTCGTGTGCAGGTCATCAGGTACATGAGGCAGCCAACAAGCTCTGCATACGGACCACTCGACTCTACGGACTCATTCGAAGGCAGAGCTGAGAGCGAGTGGCGAGTAGGCAGAGGAGTGGCTTGAGGCGAGGAGTACGTGAAGCCGAAGCGCTGAAGGACCTGCTGCACCATGTGTGACTGAGTCAGGGCAATGGTGCGGCGTGCTCTGTCCCGGGTGATCTGCAGGCAAGGGTAGTTGCGCAGTTCACCCAGGTCAGTGCATGTGTGTCTCTTCTGCAGCTCAGACTTCACATAGGCGAGTCCAGCAGTGTCAGCAGTGGCAAAGACCAAGTCGTCGACGTACACGAGGATGTAGAACGGCGGCAGAGAGGTGTCGGTGCGCACAAACAGCGACGGGTCGGCAGTAGAAGGAGCAAACCCAAGTGCCGCCAGAGTAGTCCTCAGGGTGTCATGCCACTCACGTGGCGCCTGGCGGAGACCGTAGACTGGACGCCGGGGACTCCACTGGGTACCAGGAGGGAAAGACCCAGTGAAGCCAGGTGGGCGACGCAGCCAGATCTCCTCGTGCAGGCTGCCCTGCAAGAAAGCAGTGTTGAAGTCGAGAGAGTGCAGCTCGTAGTCACGGTGAGCAGCAACGTGCAGGAGTACCCAAAGAGTGGTCATCTTCGGGGTGGGGGAGAAGGTCTGAAAGTAGTCAACTCCCTGCCGCTGACTGAAGCCACGAGCAACGTTACGCGCCTTGAAAACAGGCGGAGAACCCGGCTGCCGCTTCACCCTGAAAATCCACAAGCCACTGACTATGTTCGCCTCAGGAGGGGGAACAGCGTCAACGTAGGAGCCTGTGGACTTCCAGGAAGCCATCTCTGCATCCATAGCTGCCTGCCACTGAGAGGAGTAGGGACCCTCTATCGCCTCCGCGTAAGAGCGCGGAGTCGGGATGTCTAGTGCATTCGGGTCTCCCTCAGGGGCTAGCAGTACAGACGCGAGATGAGGTGAAGCAGCGGCCAGACACTGGAACTCCTCCTGCCTGTCCTCAAGGACGTCCGTGCCAAGGGCACACTCATCCCTGACGGACGGAGGACAGGCAGACTCAGACTCAGCGATAAGACTAGCAGCGTAGTCTAGACGACAGCGCGCAGCAAAGTCGACGAGCTCAGTGACAAGGGCAGACGCAGCAGAAGACTCGAAAGAAGGGTCAGTGACAGCAGTAGCAAGGAGACGCGTGACAGTAGGACTGGCAGCACGAAGAGAGTCCGACTCCGGGTCGGCAAGAGCAGGAAGAGAGGAAGCAGGAGGAGAAGGCAAAGGGGCACGCAGAGGAGCAGTGGACGGACGCAGAGACATCCGGTGCGTGCCAGGGACAGGAGGAGGACGCTGACGCGAACCACGGCCACTAGTGCGTGCAGGATGAACAGGCGACGCAGGACGAGACGCAGGCTCACGACGCTCAGTGTGGCCTCCAGTCGGACCAGTGTAGAGAGAAGGAGTAGGCAAAGGGGAGGCAGGCTGTAGCTGTGACTGGGACTGGATAGGCTGTGGACCCTCTAAGGGAGAAGGAGGAGGACCAGGAGAAGGTGTAAGACCAAGAACCTGCTGCAGGAGCAGAACGAAGTACGGTCGGGGCCGCGTGGCGACGCCAGAAACAGCAGGGACAGCACCAGTACCCCCAGCAGGAGCACCCGCTCCAGTAGTACCTCCAGTAGCACCAGAACCTCCAGCAGCAACTCCAGCACCAGGAGAAACTGCCAGTCGGGCCGCCAGCGGTAGTCTCAGCGCCAACACCCTCAGCAGTACCAGCTCCAGGAGAACCCTCAGGCCCAGCAGCTCCAGTACCCAAAGTACGAGCACCTCCGGGACGTGCGGCAGCAGTACCCTCTGCAGTCGAAGAACCTCCAGCACCAGCAGTACGCCTCCAGCGCCGGGCAAACCACTCACGTAGCTCCTGTGGGGAGAGTGGCTCTCGGCGAGACGAAGCACCTCCAGGCGGAGAACCTCCAGGCTCAGCACCCTCAGGCAAAGCACCTCCAGGTGGAGCACCCCCAAACGTAGCACCCCCAATCTCAGCACCCCCAGTCGCAGCACCCCCAGGCCCAGCACCCTCAGGCTCAGCACCCCCAGACTCAGTACCCCCAAGCTCAGCACCCCCAGGCTCAGCACCCCCAGACTCCGCACCCCCAGGCTCAGCACCCCCAGGCTCAGCACCCCCAGTACCAGCACCTCCAGGCTCAGCTCCCGTAGCAGCACCAGAGTCACCAGTGACCTCGACAGGCTCGACCGCGTCTACCTGGGACACACCTGAAGGGGCAGGACCCTGAGGGGTGAGGGGGTCTACCGGGGGGGGACCTGGTACCAGGAAGAGCGGGGGCGGGGGGAGGGACGGAGTGCGGTAGGGGAAGAGGCGGTAGTAGGGTACCGACTCGTCGAACGTGACGTCCTGGGAGGACAGAACACGTCGAGAGGTGGGGTGGTAGAACTGCCACCCAGGGGCGTCGGGGGGGAACCCCAGGAAGACGTAGGGAGCAGCGCGAGGGGACAGCTTGTCCGCAG